GGGGGTGGGGGGAGGACCAGGGAGGATGATTCAACCACTCAACCACTAGATGTCGCTGAAAACAACAAATCCTACACACTGCACCTTTAATACAGCTCATACAGTAGTTGTGTCCACAGCGAATAGTCACTGGATCCTTCAGGAGACCTGAACAGATGGAACAGGAGAAACTTCTTGAATCCATTTGGTTTCTTGCTGCTAGTTTCACCTCTAAAGAACAGGAAACAAAACAACTAAATGTTTCCACAAGAAGCCAAGCCCAGTTTTTCTTTCACTTTTACTTCCTGGTGTCAGTTTGAGCTGTCAGYTCTGTTAAAGGGGAGGAACCAGGAAATAAACTGTTGCAGCTGAACTCTGTTAAAGAGACGGAGCAGCTTTTTACTCTTCATTTCAGAAGAAGGAACAGTTTGAGGCAGAATTATAGAGCTTTCTGAAGATTCAACTGGAGTTTATAGTTTTGATCTTTTTAAAGGACAGTAAATGTTTTAGTCACTTAGATTATTGTCTGCTGATGAAAGATGAAAAACAGGCAGGTGTGTTGTTGCAGAAATAATCCCAGTTTGTTCCAAAAACAAACATTTTATTTAAACTTCCTTTAGTTTTGTCTCTGGTCCAGAGTCAGGTCCATATGGGAGCTCGGCTGAGAAAGGACGGTATGGCTGAAGTGCTCCTCTAACAGAGTAACAGAGTGGTCTGACTCAGTCTGGTCTTCTTCACTTTGATTTGATTAATCCCTTCAGATGGTTTGTTGACTCAGACTCCACACTTCCTGCTGAAATCATCAACTGCTTTGAATGTTGTCAGTCCATTTAATGGCCGTTATTAGAGGTTATCAGCCCTATACTGTCTGCAGACTGTCCCTCTTCTACCTCCCAGTAAGTTGGAAGACACTTATCAATCACTTGCCTGATAATATGCATTTAGGCGCAGTGGGTTTGGCTCCTCCCCTGGAAAGCAGAGCCCAAGTGGTCAGCCTGGCTCCATGTCCAGCTTTGACCGGGAGGAGGCTCTTGATCTGCGGCATGGAGATCCAGGCTGTAGCCGGTGGTCGACCCAGACATTGCTAACAATTGCTAACAGACATGTTTCAAACTTTAATCAGCTGATCTCTGTGGTGTGTTAAACATTTTCCGAAAGTTTGTTTTGTTTTTAGTGTGATTTATATGACAACAGGAGAGGGGAATAAATTTGATCTTAGAAAACCAAACTCCAACTAACCAGCCGTGTAATTATGATCAGTTTCCTGTCAGAGGTCGCTCCCTAAAAGTTTCATTAAAATGAAATGGGTTTTATTATTTATTTTCATACTTTACAAAGGAGCCCTGGAACATGGGTGAGCCTACTCTGCCCACCCACCCCCTCTTCTGTCGTCCAGGAAAGAGAGTAAACATCTGAGAGAACCGCAGAGTGCTTTTTCTGCAGCATGATAATTCAATCCAAGCCGCTCCCCCGCTTGTGCTCTGAAATGTTTTAAACTTTAATTTGTTGTTCTCTGTTGTGTAATAAACATTTCCGAAAAGTTTCATGTACACACGTGGACAAAATGTTTGTACCCCTTGTTTAACGAAAGAAAAACCCACAATGGTCACAAGAGATAACGAATCTGACGAAAGTAATGATAAATAAAATTTTTACAAAAAAAAAATGAACAACTGAAAATTACACATTCCTTTTCAGCCATGCTGCAACAAATTTAAAAAAAAAAAACCTTGTATAACAGGTCTGGACAAAAATGATGGTACTGAAAGAAAATATTGTTATGCGTTGTTCGTTTACCAGTTTGTGTGCTTAAACCATACCGAGAATGTACCAATGCATGGAAAGAAGATTTAACACGGGCTCCGAGACAAGGCTCCGCCTACTTGATTACGTCATCGAGGAGGGATCTCTACACTGCTCGGCGCCTTATCTCCAGACAATTTTTAATCTAGCCTAACGAAGATTTAACAGTTCAGTTATGTGTTGAATTTGTTTTCAGGCATGTATCATCTATATAAAATCATAAATTTAAGCAGAACAGTCACATTTAACAATCTTTACAGTTCTTCTACTGAATCACTTTCTGTTACGTGGCGATAAACACCGGTATCAGGTCAAATAAACAAGACCAAAGTAACGCTTATGAATTATGCTACTTTCATTCATTTTAAGTACACGACAGTCTTGTAAACGTTAAGGCAAAACAATTGTTTGTATTCAGCTTTAAATTTAGTTAATTCTGAAAATCTTTTCAAGACCCCACCCCTGATGTTTCAGGACCCGGTCCCAACCCCAACTTTTGGAACCACTGCATTAGAGGATAAACCTAAATATGGTTCAGATTTATAAGAACTTCCTGCTCTGAGTCAAAACTTCAAACTTTGAATTCAAGACATCCCCACTCCATTTAATCTCGACTTAAGTTTCTGATACCTTTTAATTCCAAATTTTTTCGATACAATACAAAAATCTTCAGTTTGACAAGTGATGATTTGAAGGAGTTTGCTAAAATGTACCTTTTTGTAAATTACAAAAATGTGCATTTATTCCAAAATGGTTGTTGTAGAGTTAAAGTTATGAATCCAGGAAGTATTTTTGTAGGCTTCGAGAAATTATTTGTACCCACTCAATTTTCACAAGTCCTAATGAAAGAATGAAAAGGAGCAGATTTTTTTTCTAGGGGGCGCTATGGATCTATTACATCATGCACACATTTTATGAATGCATGGCTGGATTAATATCATTTCATTTAGGTGCAGATGAGTTGACATGTAGAATTTATCAAAATAAACAGTACTTGGTGGTGGCTAAAAGGTCATTTGACTGTATTTACAATGATTTTATTCTCAAATCAGTTGGCACTCAGCTCACCCCATGTCAGCAGTATGTGACACTACACTGGATCTGCAAACAGGTGGTGATTCGAAGAGTCACACAACATTTTTATGTTCTCCTGTGGCAAACTGTTCCACAGCTGTTGTGAGCTGCAAGAACAAGAAGAAAGTATCGACTATCAATAAATATCTACAAACTATCAACAAATATCTAGGCAAGAAAATAAAAGAGGTTATAAAGTAATCTTAAGACTAAAGGTCAATATTACAGGATAAAATTGGATCAAGACTGGCAGTAAATCATTGTGCAGTTCTCCATATGACCACGGGGAGGTGCTGTTGTACTGTTTTTAGTACAGCAGTGATCCTGCAGTTTATCAGACTCAACACGTCTGTCATCCACTAACAGAAGTGTGTTTGGGGGTTGGGGGGTGTTTGCATCTCACTCCACATCCAACCGCAATGATTCACAGCTCCTTCCAAATACCACCAGGTCATGCATGAAAGTTCAGCATCTAAAGATATGAGTCAACATTAGTTAAGTGCTGGCAGCAGAGTTTGATATAAACCAATGTCTTTTCAGTTGAGCTTCATAAAATATGAAAGCAGCACTTTAAACGTTGGTTATAACCCCAGACACTGTGGATTTTGTACACTGCTAATGAAGGCAATGGTGTTTTTAAACGGTTTGTCTATATAGTGTTAGCAACATTTCTCACAAACCAGAGGGTGGATTTAATGAAAGGTTTAAAAATGAATGAATGCACGTCCACAACTGATGAGCTTTTGAAGTCATCATTCAAGATGGCCGCCCACACCTGAGTAAACTTAGCAAACATGAAAAAGTCTGTAACTCATCTTTACAGATATATATGTTGCAGCTTGAAGACATCAGTCGACGAATGGAGTAGTTTTTATCCAAACATTTATTTTCTTTTANCCTCGATACAACGTTTTAATCTTTTTCAATGTTACCTCCAATACTTACTTTCTGAGATTTTATTGAAACTTATTTAGACGTATTTTGCTAACAGAAACAAAACTTGATTACAAGTTAATGCCTAGATTCTATATTATATTTCACAACCTATAGCCTATTGTGTTGGAAACAATTATCAGCTACCACATAAAAACTTTTGATCAATATCCTTGAAATTGGCTGAATATAGTCCTTTTGTGTTTTCTAAATTCAGTTGGCCATTTTGAATTGGGTTGAGTCTAAAAGTTAAGTTACAAATGTACATTCTGTGATAACTTCATGATAGATTCATTAAAACGCATAAAGGCAGCACAAGAGAAACTTGAAGAGGAAGGACTGAGGAGAAAAGATATCCTTAAACCAGGATCTTTAATGAATTAAAACTACAAGTGAGAAATGGTTCATATGTTTAATGGTTGTCGGTCCTTTTATTTGTCTAGTTATTAAAAAACAATTTGTTTATTTAAAACGTGTAAATAAATAAATACAAGCACTTTTTGAAAACCATCAGTTTTGTTCCTCAGCCGTGAATTGGACCAGGCGGCCGAGTGAAAACACTGAACTGCAGCTGGGACTCCACCCATGCGGTGACGTCACGGGGCTCTGACAAGCTGGTGGTGCCGGAAGAAAAGATGGCGGATCATGACGAGCAGCTATCCGACGACGAAAAGGTAAATGTACTGAATAATTGCAGGTTAAACCACACGGAGAAAAGCTGGCGCCCGGTTTTTGAGTTGCAGACGCCTGCAGCTTCCGATACATACCGGCGTCGGTCGGTGTTATAACGGCGTTTTGGCGAAAATCCAGGCCCGCTGCTGCTTCTGCTTTATTATTTTTAGCTCAACTTCCGCTCATTTGAGAATCTCAAACGGTGGCTCCTTGTACGGTCCTGACTGAAAATAGGAACCGTGAACATAATACAAATTCACCTGAGCTTACCCCTAACTCTCCTTTCGTTCTGGGGGCTTGTCATTACTCTTCAGTGTGTCTGGTTGCTTGTGTTATGGAAGTTTCCAAACACCAAATTTCGCTAGCCAGCTCAGTTGGTTTAGCTTAGCCGTAGCATGCTAACACTTAGCTTGACTTAACTAACACGCCCTTCGCTGTTTGATTCCGCTTAGCGCCTTTATGTATTAACATGTCGGAAGAGGGACATTGCCTGGCTGTTCTCTGTTAAACAAGTTGTTAAAGCTTTTTGACAGCCTGCCTTTTGTGTTTCACAAACAAGACGAGCAACTCTGTTAAATAAACAGCTTAAAATTTGAGGAAACTAAGAGGCTGTTAGGGCTGCAACTGCATTCCACATCTTTTTATCCCATTATAGAGACAAAAATAAATCCATGAGTTATTCTTTTCACAATCGTAATGGATATATCGTGAAACAACTAAGATATTGATACCAAGAGTGTCTGAATTGTTATTGAAATAAGGAAATTATGAGTATTTTAATATGGAAAAGTTGCAGTAACTTTTAAGATTTAACACTGACAACCCAAAACACTTGTGATCGGCCTGCAACAAACAACACATGAATATAACTTTCTTTGTTTCTTGATAAAATTGTAAAAAAAATGTACATTGGCTACCTATATTCATTATTACTGAATTTGTTAATGTATGATCAGGAACTATCAGGCGTCAAATGATTTATGATCCATTTTGAATTCTCAAATGATCATTGTCCTGTTCAAGCTCTCAAAAATCTCAACATCAGATTGTCATAAAAGTCTGTCTGTATTTAGATAAAATAGTATGTTTAATTGCTATCCACCTTTTAGAGTTGCGCATAATCGTATCGTGTGCAATTAATCGTCAGAAAAACATTAATCGATTATTTTTTGGCACTTGACGATTAATATGATTAATGTCACCAGGCAGATTAACTAGATATTTCCACGGTCAGTCCACTCGGCGCTCCTCTCCGTTTTAAATTTAACAAACATTAAAAAATGAATTCTGAAATTTATTTATCTAGCAACACAATTTAAAATTTGATGTATAGCTCGAATGTATAGCCTGTCTGTGATTTTGACAGTTTGGAACAGGTTTTTATGAAGAGCAAATCTTTCCCACTAAATTAGTCATGTGACCAGGACATAAGGGCGTCCAGGGACTCCAGGGGATTAATCGTCAAATTAATCGTTATTGGCTAAATACCACAATTAATCGTGAGTAATTTTTTTGCCAATATCGCCCAACCCTACTACCTTTAAGTGCTGTGAGCCCAAAGTGCTTTGAGTGACTTTTTTTTATCACCCATAAACTGCAAAAAGGAATGGCAGAGGCCATACAATAAAAAACGTTGTGAAAAAGTAACTTCCTTATTATGTCATACAAATCAACAGATCCTGAAGATCCGGATCCCTTCAAAAGACCCATATACCCCATCTTTAGTTTAGATCCTATGACACTCCTGACAGTCTTTTGTTAGTTTTGACTTCACTGCTAAACTTTTTGTTTGTTTTTATTAGACAACCCAAATAGCAGATTACACTTCTTGCAATTAGTAGAACCTTAATTGCAAATTTTATTTTGTTTTAACAGGTGATTTGATTTGTATAATTAAACTTTGAATCATAAATACCATTTAAAAAACATAAAAACTATTCTTACTCCATACCATTGCTAAAACATTAACTATAAGCAGTATTATGAAGCCATACGACAGTGAAAAGACTTTCTACCACTCACCAAGTGGACAGATGGGAAAAAAAACTCACTGTCTGCTTGCATTTAATTTTGTTCATATTTTTATTTTTTGTTGTGTTTTTTGGCATTGAAAACCAAAACTGTACTTCCTGAATATGCCAATTAAAAAAAGTCATAAATGTTCCCGATGCTTCTGTAACACCACACTGCTCCTTTTTCTTCTGGTGTTTATTCGTGGTCAACAAACAACTTGATGATGGATTGATGCAAGCAATTGATAGGGAGTGTGGATCAGGATAGCAAACTCAAGAAAAAAAATACTCTATAATGCTAACTAGGACTGTGTATTGGCAAGAATTTGGCGATACGATACATATAACAGAGGGGTCACGATACGATATATCCCGATATATTGCGATACTGTAAGCAATGCAATATATTGCGATATATTGCATATCGCATTTTTTTGTCCGAAAATTCTATTAAATAAAAACCTCTTACTGAAAAAAAAAAAAAAAGAAAAGCTAATGTTTACTTACAATGCTAATGCTACCCTTACTCTCTGGCGCTCAAGAGGTAGAGGAGCCAAATGGCTGGCTTACTGCTGCCAACTAGTGGTCAGAGGCTGAACTACAACATAAAAATGAACGGCTGGCAAGAAGGTTGATATTTTAAACCTTAATAAAAAATCCATACAGGGCTTTAGAATATCGATACAGTATCGGGATACAGTGAAATATCGTGATATTTCATTTCCCGATACAGTTTCGGGAAATGAAATATCGCGATGTTTCAGTGTATCGATATTTTCTTACACCCCTAATGCTAACATTTTTCCTTCTCTGGCTTCTGATTGCTCAACATAGAAGTGACGCTATTTATGAGTATGAGTCCAGGTTTAGGGTATTGTGCTGGTATTTGTAACTAGAGAATGACCGATACAGGTTTTTAAAGGTTGATACCGATTTTTTTAAACATCAGTCTAACCGATACGCCGATACGTGCAGCCGATAATTTTTGGCCGATTAATGAAGCCAATACTACTTTTTCTTCCTCCATTAACATTATAAAAATAAGAATGATAACAAATGTTACACAAGTCTTAATTTAAAACAAACAAACAAACAAAAAAAAAACATTTATTAACTAAGCCTTGTCTGATGCAGGCTGTATTGAGTGCCACCACACAGGATTTCTTCTTTAAAAAAATTTTAAAAAAATAAATTCATTATTTATTTTATCTAGTGCTAAATATTCTGTTTTTATTTTTATTTTAATCAGATTAATATATTTTTACATAAAATAAAATGACTGTTTTAAATCCCAGCATTTTTGATACAAAAACAGCAACAAGCCTAAATAAAACTGTCAGAGCAACACAGAAAAAGAAGAGACGCACATACGTCTTGCTATCTTTGTCAGGTCTTCACACACACAGTGCTCACAGCTTCTCTGCCTCAGTCTGCTGCTCCTGTTTTTAACACCAGGCAAAAAATGCATTTAAAACAGCTGACGTTAACTTTAGATCACAGTTTGAAATGTACACTGAAGAGAACCAGCATCATGACTGCGGTCACAGCAAACATGATGTGAGCAGTGTCTGGTTCACATGATGGTGGACGGCTGCGCTCGCTAAAACGTTCAGCGAGAAAAGACAGAAAGCTTTTTTATTTTAATCCAGCAGGGAGAACAATAGAGGTGTTTTTCTATGCCTCATGTGAGCAGCTCCAGCTTTTTTAAAAAGAAAAACAACGCGGACACGCTGATTACAGTGCGGTGCGAAAGTGAAAGTAAAACATGTCGCAGTGCTCCCGTCTGGAAAAGAAACTTAAACACAGCTGCTCTCTCTTCCCTCATATTCCAACACAGAGGGTAGAAACAGTTAAATTAGACAGTTAAAACACATTTATAGTTCATAACTCACCCTTGTTGTTGTTTGCACTCTGTCTCACAACATTAGCTGCTGCGCTCTCCCCGGGGGAAGGGGCGGACACATGCGCTCGCGTGACTCAAAGAACGGATTGGTCGAACGGACAGTGTATCGACCGATACAAGGAAAAACGCAAATATCGGCCAAAAATATCGGCCGGCCGATGTATCGGTCAACCCCTATTTGTAACGCTGCAACCTGACTGGTTTTGTGTGTATTTACTGGTTAATTGTTGTCTAGCTTTTGTTGTATGTAAACTTATTCATTTTAAGTAGGGTCACTATCTTCTGTGTGTGTACCTGATGATCTGTGTCTGTTTAGCCTTTTCAGACCAATGATAATTTTAATATTCTATTATTTGCCACTTGAAAAAATATTAACGCTCACTTATGCCTGTCAAAACATTTTTGAGTTTTAATAATGCATTTTATCTAATCAAAGGAATTATATAATGTTACACACCTGTTGTTCATCAGCCATTGACCATAGAGAAAGAGGTGGTCACTATTCTTAAAGTTTGTTAATGTGTCTCCTAAACTTCCACACTATAATTGTAAGGCTTTATATTTGGGACATAAACACAACGGGGACCTTACCAATCCCAGATGAACAACACATGAGACATTATGTTTACCAACCATTAGCTACATGCTGAAGCTGAAACTTTGTGCTCTCTATAATTCAAAAGCCTGTAAATCATCTTTGTCCGCAGCGGTGTGCTGCAGTCATCTTCATGATTTTATCAGTCACTTCTCACTGCTGAGGAGGTTTTTCCTTTGAGGTTTGTGTGCATTGGTTCATGCATGGCTCACTTGGCTCACAGCTTTTTATTCAAAGCAAAGTATTATTAATGGCCAAGTCATGGCAGCATCATAACTCTTCTCTTGCTCCTTCATTTAACTGTACATTTGTGTGACGATTGACCAAGCTTCAGCTGTCAGACCGTTTCACATCTGACTTCAGGAAACTTTACAGAGGAGTTTCTGATGAGCTCGGTGTGCTCAGGTTCTGTGGCTGTAAAACAAGCCCAGAATGATCTGCACTCCACCAGTGGATACTTTGAAATGGCTCTAGGGATTTTGGTGGTTTTTTTCTGAGATGAACCTTTTGACTCACACTCAGACTTAAACATGAACATGAACATCACCCCTTTATCTACAGTTGAATAATTTCAGACAGCCAAATTCAAGATGGCTGCCACAGCCAGCTGATCTAAAAAAATAAATAAAAAGCTCAGTTAATTTTCAAGACATTGACCTAAAAGTTGGTGATGAATGTTAATTAAACTTTTACCTGACAGTCATTTACAACTTGTGTTTTAATTGTTACTCATTTTTTTTGCTTAAAACTTCAGCTGTAACTACTGGACTGTATTTCCATCTGTTAACAAAACGTCCCATTAACCACAGCATTGATTATAACTTTCAGAAAATAATTGTTGTGTGCCTTTTGAAACCAACTCATTTCAAGAATTCCACCACAGCTAGCTGGCATTAGCCATAAAAAACAACAAAAAAGCACTGGGTATAACTCAAATTTCTCAACATAATGAGTACTAGGACTTTTTTATTAGTAGTGTTAACACTTGCTGCTGATCATTTACATAAAAGTATAACTATCTATCCATCCATCCATCATGTATACCCCTTCTTCCTTTCAGGGCCAGCGGTCTCTGTGTGAGGGGTGGGGTACTCCCTGGACAGGTTTCCAGTCTATCACAGGGACACATAGAGACAAACAAGACAAATATTCACTCTCTCACTCACACCTAGAGACAGGTTAAAGGGATCCCCGATTAGTTGTAACATTAGACTTTATATGATAAACATATACTTTAACTGTAAAATAAAGACTGTAAAAATACTGTA